ACTCTACAGTGATTATGTTGCTAAGTTAAGATGTTCTATAGGTTACCTGTATTTAATTAATTCATTTTAATTTATAATATTTTCAACTTATGATTGGTTTATCAGAACACAACACTGTTCAAAATCAAGAAGCATCTGTGTTGTGATATGGCATTAAGCCTAGAGATTTGAAGCATTTCCTAGTGCACATCAGAAAAATATTAAACATAGCCAAAGTTATTAATCATGAAGGCAGAGCTTACAGCTAACACTAAATTTTGCTTCTGAGGAAGCATGGAACCCAACACTTTTTTAATTACTAGAACCAAACCCCCAAAGCAAGACAGGTAGATTTAGAGGATGGCAATGGAGAACACTGAGACCCCAAACAGGATATGTTCACTTTGATGACTATAAGCCAAAGACCTGGCATGAAAAGTCTGCTTCTCCAGAATCTTCAACAACAAGGCCCTGAAATATAGCCCAAAGCATGCACCTAACATCTCTCTTGGGAAAGAACCTCTCAAAGGGACAGTTCTAAGAGCTCTTCACCCTTCTTTCTGGTAGCAAAAGAAAAAAAGTTCTTTAAAGGAGGACAGTCCCCAATAGTAGAGCTGGAAACCACATGAAATTATGCACCATGACCATGGGCAAAGGATTTCTGGCTTGGTACAGTTAGAAACTGGGCTCTATTCTTAAGCAAAGATTTCCAACAGCAAAATACCCAACAGGCAGTAGAAGTTGCTTCTCCACTTTTCTGTAGGGAACAATGGGACAGAATTAGAGTTGAACATGGGAAATGGGAGTGAAAGAGAGAAGAAATTTGTGGAATTGCATTGGCATTCAGATACATAGGTAAGTGGGTGGCAAGTTCTACTTAATGCCTGTAGTATGGTGATGAGTCTTAATTACATAGCACTAAAAGAAGGAGAAAGAAAAAAATAATGTTTTTATTCATGTGCCAAATTTTTTTTGTCACAAGATTACTTGTAATTTTAGAAATTTGAAGGGAAGTGTTCAAAGTTATAAAAGTTTCAGAATAAATTATGATGTGTCTATCCAATAGAATTTTATATATTTGTTGAAAACCATTTTAAAAGATAACATAAATTGGAAAAATTCTTACAACCTAATGCTAACTGAAAAAAAAGTGTAAAATTTGGTATAAAATTCTTTTTTTAATATACAAAGAAAAAACTGAAAGGAAAATTTTCAAATGATATCAGCTCTTTCTTTTGATACAGGTGATTTTAATGTTTCTAATTATAGCTTTGTGTTTAAAAATTATAATCATCAATACATATAATCTTTGTATTTAAATTGATAAAATTCATATAAGAAAATAGTAATTAATGGCAATGAAACAATAGCATCATAAGCATAATTAAAATTTATATTTATACTAAGTAACAGATCTTACTGATAATGAGTCATCTAAAATAATAAGAATATTAATTTAGTTAGTAAATCATCCTACTATGTGCTATTCACTGAAAAGGGCACAAAGGATTCAGAAATAAAAGTACTGTCCCAGATCTGCAGGGGGATCTCAGGACTATTGGGGAGGCAGAGAGAAAACAATTATACACAGTGCTCTGAAATAAGTGCTCTTCTAGAAGGGACCCCAATGCACTGTGAAAACATAGTAGAGGAAGAACCAGCCAGCCAGTAGGATTAGTAAATCTACAAATCTCCAAAACCTCCTCCTTCCAGGAGAAGGTGGCATTCAAGTTGAATAAGGATGAGTGGGGGAAAAAAAGTGAGATAAGGGCATTCAGTCAGAGTTACTGCATAAAGGAAGTTAAACAAAATATGTCCTTAGAGTACAATCCTTCATTTATTCTATAAGTATTTACTGAACCCGACTATCAGGATCCACAAACAAGTAAGACACATCTGCCTGGAGACCAACCACAAACACACAAAATGTCCAGAAGTGAAGAATACTATCAAGAAATTAAACTGGATGCCTTAGGAGGGAGTTATAATGTTATTTAGATTGGGTGTCATGGTTTCTTATAAGAATTTGGAAAGATTTGGGCTAGACAGTGATGTGATAATAATAGTATTATGGTTGGTAGCATAGACTGAATCCTTCCAATTCGCCAAGTGGATTGTGTAATGTTATACACAATAAAAGCCTTTAGGGAGTTACTATTGAGAGCAGAAACAAAAGAATCGCATAAGTCTATTTCTCCAGCTATATTTTAAACACAGGTACTTTCTTTATGAACCAAGTGGGCCTTGAAAAGAGCCACATGGGGTCTGGTGCGACAAAAAGAAATCCATCCAGGTAAGGATGTCCCAGGACCACCAAAAGACAAGACTGTGTCAGGAGGAAGGGAATAGTCAGCAGTGTGCAGTAGCCCCCACATCCCAGAAAGGACAACCAGTAGATTTAGCAACCAGATGATTTATTGGTGACATAAGAACAGTTTCAATGAGGTAGTGAGGCAGCCTAGAGTGTAGCACTGATAAGGGAAGACTCTCCCCCGACCCAAGAAATAGAAGGTAGAGGCAGTATGCTTTATTATAGTTGCTGTTGTTTTGGTTTTGGTTTGTGTTAAAGGCTGAGACTTGAGGGTTGAACCTAATGAGAGGGGGACACAGAGGAAACAGCAGATGCAGCAAATTTCCCATATGAACAAGAAGGGCTAGAGAGCAAAGTACAGGTTAGGGGCTAGGTCTTGGGTAGGAAGAGCCACTCCTCTTCCGTTGTGATAGGCGGGAAGGGAGTAAGCAAGAAGGCAGGTAGGGGCAGGGAGCTGCCTGATTTCATTGCTCTGGAGTAGGTGGTATTTTCATCAGCTTTTGGCAGATGAAGACCCCAGGGGGAAAGGAGAAGTTCCACCTATGGTTTAGCTTTGAAACAGATCTTGTGAAGAATGAGAGTGGATGCTGAGGACCTGTATAAAATATTCCAAGTGGCCCTGAGCTTTCTTTTGAGTTGAAACATTTGCATTTATGGTGGCTCTGTCTGCACAGCTGTGAGATTCCTCCAGCAGGGCCAGCAGCTGGGCTGGGCCATTCTGTGTGGCACAAGCTGCTCAGTCAGCACCTGTTCCAAGCAGATCACTTCAATCTTTCATCAGCTTCTCTTAGACAGTACTCTACTCAAGAACCAGCCAGAACTAAACTAATTTGAAATGCCAGATTCTATCTTCAGATCAGTCATATAAGGAAAATTCCTAATCCAGGGCGTCTGAATATAAAATACATGTTAGAATAGAAAGTAGTAAGGGCCTAGGTTCTTTGGAGCTAAATGATCACTGAATTAACTTGAATGTTCCTTGCTCTATTCCTGTGTATATAATATTATGACTCCAGCCTCTGATTTCAATAAGAGATCCCTTTTAAAAGTCAAATACACAGCTTCCCAGGGGACATATTTGTTAAACATTTTGTCCTTATGCTGAGTAGCAGCCACTTTAAGAGAACACAAACTTGCAGAGCATTTTGTTACTATTACTACATACATACAAAACAGAGGATGTAATCAGAAGGGCATTTGGCACGGGTCCAGAAGGCAATCTGGATTAGTCTGTAACTGGCTGCCACAATTTCAAGTCCATTTCTGATCCATGCCTTATTGCTTCATAACTGACAACTTCAAAGGCTTAACAGGATGGCACAAAAACAGCTCTCCATTACTTTTAGCTTATTCTGAAGTGAGCTGCACCAGTGAATTCTTTTGAATATTTATTCTTTTGAGTTTTAAAATAACAAAGACAAATTTTATCCTCATCCCCCCACTTTCCACCGACAATATGAACTGGTGGAGGAAATATTTACTAACAGAGCTGTACAGAGGATACTTAGATAGCTGCTAATTTCTATTCTTTTCATTTATTTATTTATTTTTTAGTTGGACACCATATATTTATTTATTTACTTTTATGTAGTGCTGAGAATCAAACCCAGGGCCTCACACATGTGAGGCGAGCACTCTACTGCTGAGCCACAACCTCAGCCCCACTAATTTCTATTCTAAATCAGTAGTGATTTGTATAATGGAGGATTGAATGATTTTCTTAAATTTTCAAAATTCCCATGGGGCATTTGAACATCATGAATCACATCAAATAAAATTGTCATAATTACTTTGTTCAAGGTCCTTAAAGAACTTTAGAAACAAATCCTTGTAAATTGCAGGACACCCTGAGGCTGAGAAAGTTTTGTCTTGCCTTATGAATTAAAAGTTGAAACCTAGGAAAGAGTTGATGGTCTCCTGCTGTATTTCTTAAAGAGCCAATGCATCTCCTCTCTTGGCTGCAAGTTTAGAGTTAATTTCTAATTAAAATCCTATTTTATACTTTTGGCCAAAACACCTTAAAATTATTTTATTCTCATGTTTCACCTCCTCATAATACCTATTTTTTAACTGTGTATGAATATTAATGCTTTCTCAGAGTATGCAAATCTATTTTGTGTAGGTTCCTCACAGTTTGACTTTAATATTTGAAAATTATTTTTCTCATTGCTTATGCAATGGAAATAGTATTTGTTAATTTCATTAATTAATCCATGTTAATTTCATTGTAGATTGAATTCAGCTAATTATTTTATTGGTGAAAACAAAAATATTAACATATTATGTTACCAGTTTAGAACCCCAGAAGGTCGACCTAACAGAAAAGCTCATTTCAAGTGATTTGAATTCAGGAAAACCAATGAGTTATCATGACACTAAGGGTAGCATGTTTAAATTTTTCGTAACAATTGTGATGGTGGCCTTTTCTGAGACTAAAAGATGGCAAGTATCAGGAAATAGCAAGAATCTGGTACAGCCTCTGATCTCTGGGTGAAATTGAGAAAGGGGAGTTGGAAGCTTGGTGGGGGTGGGGGCATGAGGACTAAGCTGTCAGGTTAGCAAAGGGAGGGAAGGAAGGAAGGACGGGAAACGCTCCTGGAAGGAGAGGGGCGCTAGACAGTCGGAGAGGGAGAGAGAAGGGGAGGGAGAGAAGAGTAGTGGAGGAGCGCCCAGCGGAGGGGAGGGGAGGAGAGGAGAGGGAAAGTGAAAAGGAGTGAGGAGTTGACGAAGCACAGAGGTTAGCTTTGCAGGGTACTCCAAGGGCAAGGCATCCCTGTCTGCGCGCGTGGCGGAACCTCCCAACGCTTGATGGACCCATGTCGCGCCCGCAGCGGGTCCCGGGACCCCAGCTGGAGTTGTGCGTCTGGCTTCTCCAGTCTTGGGTAGTGTGAGTCGCGGCCACGCGGGAGTGGCGGTGGTGAGCCCGCCGGTCGTTATGAGGAAGGATCTAAAATGACCAGCAAACGGAGAGCTTTCCAAACGCCCCTCAGGAGATCAATCAGTGAGCAGTTACGGGACTCTACGGCCAGAGCCTGGGATCTGCTGTGGAAAAACGTCCGGGAAAGAAGGTTGGCAGGTCGGTGTCCGCGAGACTCCGGGACCCGCGAGGGCGGGAGGAGGCTCCGGCTGCGTTGCTAGCTCGGGCTCCCGCTGTCCCATGGTGGTAGCGTGATCTGGGCACAGGTTTCAGAGCTTGAGGTTGGGCAGATCAAGCGGCATGCACCACCCTCCCTGGGCCAGCGCAGCGCACGCGGGTGGGTGTGGGCTGCACACCCCGCGTGCGCGCTAACTGCCTGGAGGGGTGCTCCATGTGGATGGAAAGAAGGAGCAGGGGTCACCTGGAGAGCCTTCCTCCCAGTGGCCACTTCTTCTGGCTGGCCTCTGTGCCTCTGCTATCCCATTCCACCCCACCCTAAATGGCCTTTCCTAAGGCAGCCTCTTTCCCAGCTTTGCCTTTTCCACGAGGTACACATCCACTGAGTGGGTGAGGGGAGCGTCAGTTCAAGGCGAGGCAACCAAAGCTCTGAGAGACCGAACGTTTAGGGGGAGAGGAAAACAGGGAAACATTTGTTGGTGCTAGTAACCAGCTGTTTGCACCCCTGTCCAGCTGTGGATCAGGCTCTCTTCCCTTTGGGATTGCAAAGAAGGGCCTGCCTGTGGGAATCCATTGCCCAGGAATCAGAGAAAGACTGGAGATGATCATTCTGAGCCAAGAGGTTCTTAAGAATCCTTGCATAGTTCCACCCCCAGCTCCCTGCTGTGTCCTCATTTCTGTGCATGCTCCTTGGCACCACTCCCTTGTAGGGCCACAGGCATAGTGAGTGGTCTGGCCTCCTCAGAGTACTTCTTAGAAGCTTTAGGTCCCTTTAGTCACTGCATCATACCTGTCCCATAAAAGAAAGTGGCCCAGTTCCCTAGCACAGTTACTGGGCTGTGTAGGTTTTTGGCCTCCTTTGCTCAAATGTGACCTGCTGGAAGATGCTTCAGGAATTGAGGGAAGTGTGAGGAGAAGGACCTCCGACCTCCGAGGTGAACATGAGCCAATTGGATCTTGCTGTCCTCTCCAGTGGTATCTCCTGAGATAGACAATGATGCAGGGGTGGGAGAGAGTTCTAGAGAAGAAGGTATGAGATTTGCAGAAAGAAAGGATGCCCCAGGTAAAGTGGGAGATTTAACCCTCTTTGAGCAGCTCCTCTCCCTTTTCCTATTTAGACTGTAGGTTTAATAGGTTGTAGGTTGCTAATGTTCTGCCCTTAAATCCATGCAACCCAATTCCCCAACAACCTGATGGCATTCTGGAGCAGATGCCCCAGTGTTTATTACCTTGAGCAGAAGGTCATTATCAGGTTAACTAAATTAAAAGTAGGCATTATGGATGATTCCAGCACTCACTGTGGTGAGCATAAAATGTTCTCCCATATTTTCTGTCCAGCACTGTGGCTCCATTTAGTGAACACCCAAGAAATAAACAGGTTTTTCAGTCTATTCCCAGAAATAAGTTGTGGTCACCCAGTAATTTTGACTGTTAATTTTTGAAGACCTGTATATGCATTGTAGACCTTGATTAATAACAATTAATAACATTCTCTGTTATCATGTTAAATTATATAATCTATATGATGGATAGTGTTAGAGAAAATTTTGTGGTCTAGTAAACTTTCATTGCTTCACGACTTCAGAATGCTTACTCTTTCATAGCTTCTGTTATTTAACTTTGCTAAATTTGCTAAATCAGTGGATCCTTGGGAAACAAGAAGTCTTTCTAGGAGGGCTGCCAAGGCTATGTTGGGTTTTATAGAAACTATGACCAAAAATGACTACAGCACTGTCTTTTTCAAAAGATGATCTGAGAGGGAAGGGAGGGTGATGTAAACACTAAAAACTATTATGGTTGTCCAGGAGGACCATATATTCACATAAATTTTAGACATTACAGGTAAGGCAGTGGTGTGGAAAAGTTTTGATCCTGGGGAATAAACTATAGGTAGAGATTTTAAGACCATGAATATATAGAAATTAAGGCTAAAAGTGGCTTCAGAATGGTAAGAATAAGAGCTCTCTCAGAGAAGTGCAATTATTTTTTAAAATAGCAGTATGAGGTTTTAAAATGTTTAATCAAAATATTAATATCTGCTTACCCATAATCTGCTTACCACTCTGCTAACAGTGGATGCCAGCAGGTTATTCAACTGGGACCAAACAATCCACTGTGAAGCAGACTTCAACCTCTGCCTCTCTAAGCAAGCTGGGATGCTTGCCACTAAACCAAGCCAACTCCATGAAGGAGCTTTTAGATGCAAATTGATTTTCTTGGGTTTTCTTGCTAAGGTAGCTAAAATATGGAACTTTGGCCATGAGACATTGAAATACTTAAGTTATTAATGTTGGCATCAATTCTAAGTGAAAGTGTTCTTCATTTGTAAAAGTGTCCTTAAATGGTTCAGTTTGCAACATCAGAATAACCAACTATGTGAATATGTCCCCAGAGGGCATCTGTTCTGCCAAGAGATGATATGAGACTATTGTCTTTTTGGTTTTTGTTTTGTTTATCTTTTTCTATCAGATAAAAGTTTTGTGCTGGATTTTCTTTAATTTGCCTAACAGCATTCAGAGTTCTTCATAACAAATTTGTGTTTGTTGTCCAGAGAATTCTGGAGGTATTTGATTCTCTCTTTGCTTTTTTACATCCCAGGGAAGGAAATATTTATTCTACTTCAATCTTAAATGTTCTTCATTGAAAAAGTGTCTTTTTAACTGAACAGAAAATGTGATTGTAAGTAAAAAGAAATACAACTGTTTAAGCATATTGAAGCCTTTGGATTTCTGTGATATGGGACTATTTTCAGGAAGGAGGGGAGCATACATGGGGGAGCATTTCTTAACATAGGTCACAATGACACAAATAATGAAACCAATGAAAAGATGAGAATGGTGTTCAATTATGTTCATTTTATTTTAAAATAATACATGGGAATTATTTAAAAACTAGTATTGGGAGCCCTGCTTGGGCTTTCCAATTCTGGGGTAGTTGCTAAATTTCCATTAAGTTGTGTGTTTTTTGCCAGTGCATACTTCTTGATTTCCAAAAATTCTGATCTTCTCATGGAGTCAGTAAGAGTTTTACTCATCTGTCATCTCAACATTCATTATTGCATTAGTGGTGGTAATTGTTGTTTATATCCAAATGACAGAGTTGGGTAGTGTTCAAAGCAGGATTCAAATTCAGTTCATCAGAATCCTGCTTTGAACACTACCCATTCTGTGCCCATTTCCTATTACACCACACTGCCTCTTCCCTGGGCTTTGTGAAGATATGGACTCCCACTCCTTTCTAAGGTTCTCTGTTACATATAGATTAAAAAAATAATAGCAAAAGGCCTGCAAAAATTACTTTCTTCCATCTAGGAATGACAAAGATAACCCCATGCACTTAAAATAGCTTGTCTCTAGGTCATCCTATTGGGCTGGTTAGCATATGATCTTGTAGAGATTTTAAACAAATAAATATCCATACATATAACTTGTTGGGACCCCTATGTGATACAATCCCACCCACTCCCAGAGAAGGGGCTGCAAATATGAGAGGCTGTGGTAAACCCTTAGTAAACTGCATGTTTCTTCCAGGTAGATGAGTGACGAGTTCTTTTGGCTTCCCCAGTTCCCGAATCATCCACTACTGTGACAATTCTGAACTTTTATAGCATTATTAAATTCTTTAGGCAGAAAGCATACCCTTTAATTTTTTGGTATCTGTAAGCAGCTTGAGCCACTTTTCAAATGCTAAGGTCTGAGAAAATCCAAGTGATTTTTCTAATGCTTTTTGATCCTTTATTTAAAAGTTTGTACTTTTTAATGGAAATTTCACACATATGTTTGATTCCTTTATGCTCATATAACAATATTTAGGTGGCTTGTGAACTAATTGATGTCCAAGTCTTTTGAAGCCTTTTATAGTCTAATTTTAAATAATTTCTCTGAACCAAAGGAAATATATTGCTGCCAAGAATATACGAACTTAAACAACTAAAAAGTTTGAGTTTCATTAGAAACATTTATGCCACCAAATTTCAGTAGGTCTCATCATGTTAAAACATGTTCATTCATCTCAAACTGAAGAGCAGCATCCTTCGATATGATGTAAACACAAGATTGGGACTTTAATGCAGAGAAGAATCAAGAATAAAACATGAGCCCTAAAAAAGTACCTTATTAAAACTTAAGTGTGTTCCATGATATCAAAAGTACGGGATGATACTATCTGATCCTTTCTGTGTATCTCATATCCTTTTTATTATCAAATAATGTGAAAAATAGGCCCTCCTACTCTGTTATGGTGTTGTTGTTCCTGCTCTTTTTAAAAATGTCCCTTGATGGACCTATGTTGATAGGTGATTTATATGAATAATAACAAAAAAATCAAAGTCAAGTAAATATGCAATTAAAACCAGAGAAGGAGAGAGCATCATCTATATCAGGGTTCTCAACTTTGTCTGCACAGAGAATCATCTGAAGCCTTTCAGAGCACCAATGCCCTATTCCCCTCCCTCCCAGAGATCTGATTCAGTTCAGGTGAGGCCTGGGCATCAGTATTTTTTAACATTCTGCAGAAGGTTCCACTATGCAGTCAGGATTAAGAACCATTGATTTGCATTTAAATGCATGATAACCATAGAATTCTAGGTCTAATACAATGTTATCCAGGCTGTACATCTTTAATCTGAAAATCCCAAATTCAAACTGATCTAAAATCTGAAAATTTTTTGAAGACTGACATGATGCCACAAGTGGAAAACTCCACACCTGACCTCAAGTGATAGGATTATGGTCAAGACACAGGTGCACAGAACACTTTCTTCAGCATCCTCCAGGGTAAAAGACCCTCTGAGTCTCTTCAACTATTATATGCAAACTTATTTTTATGTATGAAATTATTTCATATGTTGTATAAAATTACTTTTCAACTATGTATGTAGGGTATATATGAAACAAATGAATTTGATTTTAAATTTTGGTTCCCTCCCCAAGATATCTCATTATATATATCCAAATATTCCAAAATCTGAAATCCAAAACACA